CTAAAACCCAAACTCCATCACTCTCTCACGCTCTCACGCATAAGAATGTGTGCTCGTGTTCGAACTCAAGCTAAACCCCTTGGCTGGTAAAATTACCGAGAAGCGAAGAGAGACAAATGGAGTTTCAGAGAGAGAGAGAGAGATGAAGTTTGAATAGAGTATCATTTTAATGTTTGTTTAGGTCAAAATTTTATGGTCAAAAGGGTCCAGGGGGTTGTAAGATAGAAAAGATAGATACCTTTTGCTTACAAGTAATATTTTCAATTCTTGGGTTTCATAAGATATGGAAGTTAAAAATAGGGGATAAATAGATATTTTTCCTTGAAACTTTGTTAAGCCACCTTGGGCTACTTTAGTCAACTCAGAACGGATTGAGTTGAGTAACCTGAAGTTTGAAACTCTTAAATTTTTATAAAAATTTAAGAATTAGGGTGACTCGGGATTATGAACTCCTTGCAAGTCCATACCTGTGTCCGACTCTTTAATCACATGCAATGTTAAATGCACCGGCTGATCAACATTTGACTTGCTAGGTAAGCATGGGAAATAGGGGTGGCAATGGACTCGAGCAAACCCAGGACTCAAGAGGTAGACCCGACCTTGGATCCAAATTATGGATTGGAAAGGTCGGGTCCGAGTCCAAAACCTGGACCTAAATATTATTTGGGTCCAAGTCCAGCCGGATCAAACCCATTGCCACCCTAGTAGGAGAGTCCCATGAGTCACCGGATTTGGGGACACCGAGTCGGAGCCCTTGGATGTAAGAGGCCAAATATGCCTTTGAATGGACGGTTAGATGCAACCATGTGATATGCTACTGAGGAATTTTTGGCCGTTGGATGTTCAAAGACATTTTTTACCATAAATTAAAGCATGTATGACACAATGGTGTAGAGAACGCAATTCATAGTAAATTATGATGTTCAAAGATATTTTTTACCATAAATTAAAGCGTGTTTGTTTTGAAGGAGTCGTTGCTTAGATCGTAGCATTTTCCGAGTTTGTTACGCCATTAGGGTTGAGTAGTTGGTTGTTCACAGTTGAAAATAGTACATCCCAAGTATGATTCTCACTGCTCAACTACTCCCAAAAAAAAAGAAAAACCAAATACAAATGTTTTCATGCTAACTAGGGTTCCTAACAGACCAGTGCCAGCCCATGGGCTTTTGGGATGGACCAAGTTTCAAGCTAGTTTTGAAACACGTGTTAGGGCATGTGGACCGGGCCTGGGCTAGCAACAGCTAGGCTAGCCCCTTTTTTTGAATTTTAGATTACTAATTTTCTATATGTAAAAAAATAACATATTTATATGAGGCCCAACTAGGCTCATGTTGGATTTTCTGCCCAAGCCTGGCTCAGGCATATCTTGCAACATTCTGACTAGGCATGGGCTAACAGTTTTAATGCAAACCCATGGAAGCATCAGCATTCAAAGTGTGTGGAAGATGGATCTTTAGCTTCATGAAACAAACACATACCCCTTTAGTGTCTTTTGAACTAGCTAGCGTCTGAACTCGATGGAGTCCTAAGTCAGTGTCCCTCCGGTCTGACTCGGGCGAGTCTCAACCCCAACAGAAAAGTTTTAATAAGAAAATTAACTTTTATAAAAACTAGGGTTTTCGCATTTTGTTTTGGCCAATCCAAATCCCTTTCATATGTCGTAATTGGAGAATGAGAGCCTTTTTTTACCGCGGAAATTATGGTATTTTTACCTTAACTAATGATCTTAAACAAAAAAGACTACCTTGGAGGAAATAGATTAGATTTGGGGTCGAGGTGGTAGCATCCCGACACCTGGTCACCACATTGTGATCTTCAGTCCTACTACTAACACCTTAAAAAAATGTAACTCCTAATCAATTGAAAAAATAGTCCTACCACTAACACTTTAAAAATGTAGTTTTTAATCTATTGAAAAAAACAGGTAGGGATGTCTTCCTCACATACTTACCAAAAAAAAAAAAACCTCTTTGAGGACAAAAATTTCATACAAAGGTCAAAATTGGACCTCTTGGAGATTTCAAATGAACGAGCGGACTCTCTTGGTAATTTTTTATATTCTTTAGGGTGAAGTTTCTATGAGACTTAGGCTTTATAAAAAAAACTCTCCATGATGAATCTAAAATTAATTTCCAACACGACCATAAAATTTGAAACTCAAAAGTGGTACAAGTCTTATGGACCTATGACCACCAATTTTTAGGGTGAAATGGACTGTCTAGAAGATTTATTCTAATATACACTATTTTTAGAGCTTAAAATCATAATTTTTTTCACATTCATAATGTTCAAGCCAAGATGATCAATATAAAGGTTTTCCAATGCTTGAATTGTGATTTTCAATGAGTTATGAGGTGAGGCTTTACTTATTTTGATAGAGCCGCAGCTATATCTATTTTTCTATTCTTTATTGCAAGTGTCAATGTCTGATGTGGATAAGAGCGTCACCATTTCAAACTTAAAATTGGTTTTTTTTATTGGGGATGGGATTGTATTAGCAATACCATCTAAACCCCAGTTAAATGTCATAGCCTCCATTCTCGCTAACACTTTAAAAAAACTGGCTCTTTTAAAAAACGAGTAAAAGCTTGTAATCCCCACTAATCTACCAAAAAAAAATGGCTTCCCAAACACATCCTTTTGTTGTTTAAAGCATGAGATGTAAAGTGACATCAATACTTTTATAGTGATATTTTAAGAATATTGATGAAAATATACTTATTTTAACAATTATGTTTAACTATTTGCTTCCTACCCACCAATAAAGGCAAATAATGGAACCTCCGATTGCATTGCAATCAATAGCAAAGGCATAAGCATTTGACCGGCCTAACGACATATCTTCCATCACCTGACTGATTTTTAGAAGGAAAACGCTTATATAAGGTTGCAATCTGAAACTATAGAAATAATGTACACTTTGAAAATGGCTCTTTTGATGTTGGGAAACTCTCCAATTGATCATCTCCACATCAAGATGTATAAGATATGAAAAAAAAAAAAAAAGAGAAAAAAAGATTTCGACTTCCAAACATAGTGCATCTTATAATATATTACTTGGACTGTCCATTTTTAAGAATTTCATGTAGTTATTGACCTACTTGATTTGAACTAGATTTTTAGGCCATCCTAATAATTTTTTACACCATAATTGCATCTCATGATAAAATTTGGAGGTACGCCTTACTTTGATTGTTTAAAGTTGCAACTTTGTGCAAACCACATCCTTTCTAGAAACCTAGCTTGTAAAACGTGAACCATGTGTCTTATAAAGGCAAAGGCGATGTCTTAGTCGAAGAGTTTATCTATTGTAAATCAATGGGCTTGAGCGAAATGATCACATTCTTGATCCAATACTATTGAACAGGGATGATTTATTGTGTACAAGTAACTTTTTTTTGGGTAAGTAAGTGGGGGAGAATGCCTCAGACCCGTTATTCATTAAATAAAGAAGAAGAAAATACATATAATATTTTAACAATCCTATTGTAGGGCAATTGTGCCAAATCATGGAATAAAGATAAAAAAAAAAATCCGAAAATCTAGAACGTCAAACTGTACATTAGAAAGAGATACTCCCTTCTTGGCAAGTGTATCTGCTACCATGTTAGCTTCACGATAAATGTGATAAATGATCCACCTAGGATCTGAAAGTATGTGTCGGTAATTAACTCCTACCGTGTGGAGTGCCCATGGAGCTCTGCAACGCCCTTGAGTAAGGTTTACCAACAATGACGAATTACTTTGAATTTGGAGTGGAAAACAGTCAGGTTCAATGACCAGATTAACACCCACCTCCAATGCAAAAAACTCTACATAATTATTAGATGCGAAGCCAAAAAGGTAGCAAAAGCACGCACCATCGCTATTCTTGATGACCCCACCACCACCTGCCATACCCGGATTTTGGAAAGCACTATCTACAAGTAAGTAACTAGGGCAACTAATGAATAAGATCTACCACTTCCATTGTTGAGTCAATGAAGCCTACTATCCTACATATTTTCTCAGATGGTGCTTTGCTTTTATCATGGTGGTGCCACTACCGTGGTAAAATTGCATTTCAATATCTATCTAGATTTCCTAAATTAATAACTAGGATCAAAACAAGCTAATCAATTCACTTAACCAGATCTCTACTACCGCTTCTTCCTCTGGTGCTCTGTTGTCGATACCTCTTACTGCTCTGCTCTCGCGGCCAATGCTCCTACATCCTACCGGCTTCAAGGTAGATATGGCTAGACTGTTAAATAGTTCATTTTTTATGCTATGATCAATTTCCCTAAAAGTAAAACCTAAAAAATAATAGTTAATATAAATATCGTGTCTCTCATGTATCAGCAAGTGCCAAAAAAAAAAACAAATCAATCTTTGAATGAAAAAGTTTATATAAGGTTGCAACTTTAAAATGTTGAATTATCGATGCACCTTAAAAATCCATCGGAAAAGGTTATTTTAATGTTGAAAGACCTTCTAATTGATCATCTCGATATCGAAATGTATGAATGTGTAAAAAACAAGATTTCGAGTCGTAAAAATAATGCATCTTGCAGCACATTATCTAGACCGTCCATTTTCAAGATTTTCACATGTTTATAGATCTATATGATTTTAATTATTTTTAAAGTTTAAAATTTTATAATTAGATATAAAAATACATTTTTAAATAATCTTTAAATTTTTTTACACCAAAATTATATGTTATAATAAAATTTGAAAGTGCGTCTTAATTGAATAGTTTAAGGTTAGCTAAGATTTATTGTTCTTCTTAGAGGGAGTTTTTAAAATTTTCCTAAATAATGATGGGTACTTTAGTAATTTTGCACCCTAATGCCTAAATACAAGGTACTGTGCAGAGGACCCAATTGTTTGTTTCCGCGTGTCTCCCTCCATTTTCAGTCGAAAGGGAAACAAGAGATTCAGGTACCCTTTCTTGGTGATTTTAGCCCTAATATTTAACTGTTAAATTTTGCCCTAATTTTTGGATTTTGAGGGTGGGTTTGTTTATTTGTGGGTTTTTCCCTAGCTCTTGTTGTTGATGACGATTCTTTTGAGCCTGATTTCTTTGTGCTCGATGGCTATTTCTTAGCATGATATTTTTTTTTATTTTTTGGGTGGTTATAGCTCGTAAGTTTTGACTTTGATGGTGATTTTTCCGTGGATGATTGATTTATGTGTGATCTATATCTCTGTTGGCTGTGCATGCTGTTTCATGTTAATAGGAATGGAGTGGTTATTTGATGAATTTTTTGGTCTATGAATTCATGAATTTTAGTTTTTTTGTGGATATCTTTAGATTCATAGAAACCCCATCCCGTTTTGATGATTTTTTTATGCATTCATTATTGAGTTGTGGTTTCCTGAGCGTGAACTGCTTGTTTGGAATAAATGATTCATATGCTATTTATTTTTATTTTAATGGTTAAAAATGTTTTCTTAGCAAAAATTCTTTTTAAATTTTTGTTAAAGTTAGTTGATTGACGGAATGCTTTCCTTCTTTTTTTTTTCTGTTTTATCGGTAATTGGAATTTTGCACAGTCGCTTGGAGTGATTATCAGTAAAAACAATGTTGTCTACTCTCCTTGTACACTTACTAATGCATTGAATTGGCAACCATTTTTCTTAGCCCTTCAAGTTCATTTGAAATGAATTCCTTTCTTTGGCGTTAAAAAACACGGGCTTGGGCTGGGAGTCGCCAGCGTCCCCCCGAGCCCGAGTCGTCCAGTCTAACTTGGCCAAGTTCAGAAGGACTGGTGATTTTAAAAAAAAACTACTAAAAGGCAGAGACTGAGGCAAGTTCTGAGGTTTTGCCTTGGCAACTACCGTTGCCAGGGCGCCGAGCGTAGCTGACATGGGCAAGTCCTGAGCCAAGTCTCAGATTTTTGAAACACCAGGAGGAGGACAGTGAGGTAGCAAATATTGAAATGCTTCATTCACAAACACAACTGAGACTGGGAAGCAAGGATCACAACACAACTTCAGAATCAAATTGACTGACTAACACATTGGCATGCCAATAACCCTGCCTAGTAGCCTCACAATACTTCCTCAATTGAAAGACTAGTATTGTAAGGATGAGTTATGATTATCTGACTTCCATTGGGATTGATCCTTACATAGCCAGGCCATGCATCTCAGCTAAATGAATTCTAGGAGAGACACCCATGATCCAAGTTTTATGAGCTGGTTACGTGCATGTATATGCACATAGACATGTGTGCACATATGCAGGCATATATATCTGCAAAAACAAACACATGGATTATATTTAAATTATATTTATCTGTATTTGATTCGAGTTCTCTTTTTTATATTTTGTTATAATTAAATTAAAGGAGTAGAAATCTATTTTCCAATTTTTTTGTTAACCTTTATTTATTTTATTTCTGGTTATAGCAGCACCAATAGCTATACATGAGGAAAATGCCTCGCCGCAATTCCTGTGAAGATATTGGTTGGCAACACTGCATCCCTGTTGATGGCAATAAGAAAATTGTCAGGTGCAATTATTGTGGGAAAGTACTTTATGGTGGTATAAATCGTCTAAAACAACACCTTGCAAAGATTAGAGGGGATGCAGCTCCATGTACTAAAGTGAATGAGGAAATTACAAGAATCATGAGGGCCAACTTGGAGGCAATACAAGCTGCAAAGGAGAGAAAAAGAGCTATATTACAAGGAGCAAATATAACTACTGATTTTTCTGGTGAAGAAAATACTTTGTCGGATCGTAAAAGAAAGGGAAAGGAATTAGTAGATGAGGGTTCGGCAAGAGGATCAAAAGGGAAGAGCCTACAAGGAGCACATTGTCTTAGTATTGTACCTAGTACTTGTAGTGTAGGCGCTAGTGTTGGTGGTGCTGGTCGGTTGAATTCATTCTTTGAGCCTAGATCTACACAACTGAAACTTAAATCTTTCTGGGATAACAATCAAGCTCGACACAAAGCACATATCGCGATTTCTGACTTCTTCTATCATTGTGCCATACCCTTTAACTCAATAAACTCACAGTATTTTAAGAAGATGTTAGATGTAGTGGGGAGTTATGGGCCTGGCTTGAAACCTCCATCGGGTAAGGAGATAGCCGGGATTCTTTTGAAGAATAAGGTTCTAAGTATTAGAGAATCATTTAAAGAATTGAAAGCATCATGGGCTAACACTGGATGCACTGTCATGTCAGATGGGTGGGAAGATGGTAAGGGGAAAACTTTGATCAATTTTTTGGTTTATTGCCCGCGAGGAATCTATTTTGTTAGGTCTGTAGATGCTTCTGATATAGTTAAGGATCCTAAAAGTCTCTTTAAACTGCTCGATGAGATTGTTAAGGAGGTGGGAGAGGAGAATGTGGTGCAAGTTGTGACTGAAAATTCGGCCAATTATGTGGCAGCAGGAAGATTACTAGAAGCAAATAGGAAAAATATCTTTTGGACCCCTTGTGTTGCCCATAGCCTTGACTTAGTCCTGGAGAGTATTGGAAAGATGAAAAAGGTAGCTGATTGTCTAACTAAAGGAAAGAAGATAACCAAATTTATATATAATCATTCTGGGGTATTGAGTTTGATGAGGTACCATACTGGTGGTAAGGACCTCCTTCGACCAGGAATTACCAGGTTTGCTACTAATTTTCTCACTTTGCAAAGCTTGGTGGAGCATAGGGCTGGGCTTAAACGTATGATTTTGTGTGATAAGTGGAAGGAATCCTACCATACAAAGACTCCTGAAGCTAGGGAAGTTGAAAAGATTATTTTAGATGCATCATTTTGGAGGAAGGTTGAAGAAGTTCAGAAGTCAGTTATTCCTTTGGTGAGGGTTCTTCGAATGGTAGATGGTGATGAGAAACCAACTATGGGTTATATTTATGAGGCAATGGATAGAGCCAAGTTGGCCATCAAAGAAGCACATGAAGATGAAAGGAAGTATGGACCGTATTGGAGGAAAATAGATGAGAGATGGGAAAGCCAACTGCACCATCCTTTGCATGCAGCTGCACATTTTCTCAACCCTGCATTTCGGTATCGAGTAGACATCCCTGAGGTATGTTGTGCAAATGTATCTGTCTAATTCAAAGAGGATATATGAATTTGATGTTACCTAAGAGTAACTAAGTCTGTTAATTAAATATTGCTCTTAGCGCCCTGAGTTACAACGGGGATTGAACGATTGCATTGTGCGTCTAGAGCCTGATAAGCTGAAGCAGATACGTGCGGCCCAAGAGGTACTAAAGTTTGTGCTAATAACAGATACTACGAACTTAATAGTTAACTCATTAGTTTTTTTATTCTATATGTTTTTAATATATATATTTCTTTTCATTATCTTTTAGATTGATATGTATAGGAATGCTCAAGAAGACTTTGGATCAGATTTGGCCGTGAGAACTAGGGATAAGTTAACTCCAGGTGAGAAGAAAGCTTTGATTAATTTCGTGAAGTGAACTTTGAAAGGTTTAACTTTTTTTTTTGGATCCTAATTGACATTTAACTTTTTAGGTATTAATATTATTGATATGGTCCATTTCTTTCAGCCGCATGGTGGCAATCATATGGCATGTGTTGCCCTACTCTACAACGCATAGCTATTCGTATATTGAGCCAAACTTGTACTTCTTCTGGTTGTGAACGCAATTGGAGTTCTTTTGATCAAATTCATACAAAGAAGAGGAATCGCCTTGCTCAAGAGCGTTTAAATGATTTGGTTTATGTCCATTACAACTTGAGGTTGAAAGATCGTCAAATGAAAATGGGAGAACCATGGACATACAACCCCATCCGACTAGACAATATTTTCACAGAGGATCCATTGGATGAATGGGTTGTAGAGACAGAAATCCAGGCCCCACTACTTGATGAGGTTTGTTTTCTGATTCTGAGATTCAATTACGGTATTATAAATGATGGCAGAAGGCAATTTGTACTTAATGTAATTTTTTGCAAATACAGAGTGAGGTGGTTAGTTGGATGGACATAGAGTATGAAGTTGATGATGACGATGCAATTCCAGAGAGTGCTGTACATAGCCCGAGTGTGGGGGATGTCGGTCTTCAGAGTGGTGATGACTATGAGGGCATTGATGACGACGATGATGGTTACGAAGATGAGAATGATTTAGATTCCTAAGGCTATAATGGGAATACAGACCTTAGAATTTATGCATGAGTGGGCCACTAACAAGCTTGTTGACTCATAGGCATTAGAACATTTTTCTTAAAGAACATGTTTTTGGGAATTAGATCCTTCTCTCCAATAGATTGTATGTGTATTTGATCATGTACCCCCATTGTAATTGTATTTATGCCATTAATAAAAAAATTGTGAGCTGTTCTTTGAGCTTCTACTTTCAAAATTCAAATGTTCCCCCCCCTTAGCCTCTTGCCTAGCGACTTCCTTAAGCTTTGTATAATCTTTGTTTTAAATTTTTTAGCCCTGTAAAGGGTTTACTCGAACACCCGACTTGTGGGTGTTCGAACCTTGCTGTATTTCTTTTTACTCAATACACCAGTTAACTTTATGAAAAAAAATTCAAATGTTTTACTTATCTTTGGATGCTTCTACAACTTTGAGCTTTTGAACTCAGCTTATCATAGGCCCATGACTCCTCAGTTTATACACCTTAAAATATGTATGATAAATGTCTATGAATGTTTATGTATAGATGGTTAGGCCAGATTGACATGCGAGTCCTACCAATTGGAGGCATGGCTACTTGGTACTGCTTGTACTCATTAAATGGGTTGGGAGATTTGGCCTTTCTGCATTTGGTGTTTCATCACTCATGGTAATACCGCTATATATAAATGTATACATGTGTGATGGTGGGATGCATCCATGCATCTGCCTCTGTGTATCATATTTGATCCACACATGCAAGCATATATATATGTCATATGTGTATGTATTCAGACAGGATAGGAGCACTTGATATTGGATTGAATTAGAACTTGGACAGGTTTACTGACCAGTGCAGTTCTTTAAAAGAGAGTGAGTTCACATTGGCTCCTTCATCATAGTGTAAGGACATATCCCTTAATCACTTTTTAAGGTAACATTGGTGCCAAAGAATTTCTCCTGTGTAATTTAATGATTTCCTTATGTATGCTACTTGATGAAGCATACAGTAAATTGAACTCATGATCCTTGTATCAGGATAGGATCTCTCTCTCATTAGCTGTCTCTGTTTTACTCCTCATGTCTGACCTCTCATTAGCTGTCTCTGTTTTCAACCCCCATGTCTGACCAGGTTGGTGAGCCCATAATGGCTGGGTTTGCAGGATTGGCGCCGAAGACCAAGAATGTGATAGTCGCTGGGGGCCTAACGGGTTTTGTGTTGGGTGTGTATTTTTACACCATGAAAGCAGTTGGAGGCACAGATGAGCTACAGGTTGCGATTGACAAGTTTGACGAGCTTAAGAAGCAAGAAAATTCTAGCACCAGTTCCCCTTCAGCCTCTTAAGCCTCTCTTTCTTGATGCTGGGTTTCTTGATGAATGACTTAGATCTTTTCACCGGGTAGCGAATTATAACTGGCTTTATGGTAATGTTGTGCTGGATTGTTTTAAAATAATAGCACGTTTGAAGCTCCTCTCTTTTTCAGTGGATGCTTTTATCCAACGTGCTGCAAAGATCACCAGTGACCCCTTATATTTTGTTTCTGATAAGCACTGGCAATGGGTAATGTGTGTTGATAGATATGTAACATGCATGACCTTGTTATTGGGATGTTAATGGCCCTTGCCCAAGCGTGTGACCAAACATATGTTGATCAGGCCCTGGCCCCAAGTCCTGATTTTGGGCCAGGCCGGGACTGTCCCCGGACCAAGACAAAAGGATTGAGTCTTGAGCTTGGGTTGTGGGGCCAGACTCCATATAAATATATATTTAATATAACTAGTATATTTTTACATATTTACTAAATTTTCAGGCCAGGTTAGGGTTGAGGGCAAGCCCGGGCTGTCTTTTCCCAATATTTTGGTGGATATTATTGAGCGCGTGTACTATACTCCCCAGGCAGCAACATGATACTCCTACTCCATTCGGTAGAGGACCTACTTGGGAAATTTTTTTCAAATTGAAAGTTTGAGAACCACTAACGAATTCCTAGCTGAATATTTTCAAAATAAAAAATTCGAAAAAAAAAAATTAGAGTTTTATAACACTAAGATCTCACCTTCCAAAAATTGAATAACATTATTATTTTTTCTAGTGCATGGAAAATGCAATTGAATTCCTTCTATCGAGGTTAATACATGGGTTGAATGGACTAAGAGCTGTAACCTGGTATTGATCTTGCCTACGCAGGGTCTTGGGAAGGGTGAGCTGGAGACGGTTTTAAGTTTTGGCTTTTTATTCACAAAGTGGCCACTCTCAAGACTCTGAAGCTGCACTTGTGAAGTTAATACATGGGTTGAATAAACTAAGAATTATAACCCGGTGTTGGTCTTGGGAGGGTGAGCTGGAGACAGTCTTAATGTTTGGCTTCTTATTCACATAGTGGCCACTCTCAAGACTCAAGCACTCGTGCTGGCTACCCAAGTCTTTTTACTCTGTTACACCAAGTGTCGGTTCCTATAGGTTGAATAGATTACATCCCCAGGTCCTGGGGTCCCAAAATTACTCCTTGATTGGGCTTTACCCATGAGAGAAAATGTACGATATACTGCAGCTGGAGGATGAACTTTTTTAGCTTCAAACTGTGTAGCTGTGTGCCTGTTTCATGGTGGTGAACTTTTCAAATGAGAAGCCTAATTGTCCTTAAAGCCCAACCCAAAATTCTCAATGCTGTTGAGAACTTTGTAACTCTGTATTGGCGAATGTAACTCTAAACCTTAGTCACAATTCTCGTTATTGTGATATTATTATTGTGTTGTCTTTTTCGTCGGAAATTTATTGAATAATCACTAAGATTTCATTATATTTAATTGATGTGTTATTTATTACATAATAAAATTTATTGTATGTACTAAATAGGAATTCAAGCTATACACAACAGAAATGTATCTAGACTTTTATAAATATAGATCTGCCAATAATTTATATTGAATATTAAAATTGTAATATAACAAATTATATGCAACTTTTAACTTTCATATCCATTATCAATTGCTAGCAAATTGCTCTCCATTCACTAATCGAAATTCTAAAGACAGAGAGAGAGAAACCTGTCATCTGTATTCATAGAAATAGAAGATGAATCAAATCTCAAAAAAAAGTGCAATTATATATTATATATTATTGAATGGGGAGAAAGCCCCATGCAAAACTCAGCATATTTTTGTCACAAAAAATACAGATGTATCAGAGATGACTAATATTTCAATTAAGAGAAACAAATTTCAAAAACCGAAATAGAAAACTAATCTTCGTAGACAAAATCTTCCTTCTCTCAAATAAACTGAAAAAGGGAAAATCTATAAGGTTTTTTGGAAGCCAAACATGGCTATAACTTGGCTTCATCTCTGGGCATGGCAAGGGCTTTCTTTAGCCTGTCCACAATATGAGGCAACATCCGAATGTTGTCTTGAATGGCATGGTCCACACATGATTCCAGCTGGTTCATGGCAGTCCCCAGTTGTGGTTGCAATTTCGCTGTCTCTAACTTGTCTTGGCAGACCATTAAAGATCGATTCAAGCGCTCCTGGCAGAGAGAACGAGATCAAATCAGTCCATCTTTGAGAGAGTGAATGCCACTACACAGAATTATATCACTAGCAGAGAGATCAAATCAGTCCAGTTTAGAGAGTGAATGCCACTGCACTACAACTATATCACTAGCAATGGAATGCAACTTATGTTGGTTCATGCATGCCAGCGCACACTCATGCACAGAGAGAGAGAGAGTCTATCCACAAGATCCAGCAATGAATGGGTCTCCTACATAAAATGACAGGTTGAAGCTGATGTACTGATCCAATAAAAAACAAATGTCCACTACCATGAAAATGAAAATATGCAAACACATCCACACAATTCCCTTTCTTTTTATGGTTCACATAGCACAATTCCTCTGAAAACCACCATTCTAATGTAACCATCAAGAAAATAAATAAAAGAAAGAAAATTTGATGCAATAAGAAATGGTGATGAATAAAAGTCGTATCACAGATTGAACTACCTCTGTTTTGCCAATATATCAGGTTGAGTTGATGTCAATCTAAGTTCACCAAGATATGCGAATTCAAACTTCTTCATCTAAAGGACATCCAAGTGGATCTTTAGATGCATCAAAAGAACTCTTTCTGAGCAAATATATTGAAGCTTTGTGCTATTTATTCAATTTATATACTGATATATGTCCATATTCAGGTGATGACTGCGCAAGAGACCGTAATAGCCAATTTTCAGTTTTCATAATAATGTGTTTTCCTGACTAGCGTTTTCTTTGAAGTATAACGCAAAGAACAGCAGCTTAATCTAGTACTGAGACAGCAGATACACAATGAAACGAGCGCCTGATGGCTTTAATAAAACTGGGCTTTCCCTCCCATATCCTTCTTTGACAAGGGAAACACGGTACGACACTTTTCTCGTTAATACTGCAGGAATATGATGGGAAGGATAAGTGAAATTTTCTCCATCATGATAACCAAAGTGTATTTCATGGTATCGAACACATTATTCAATGAAAAGGAGCATCGCTGAAATATATTAATCATTTGATTAGAGAGATGAATTCAGCTGATTAAATCAGAATGAAACAGATGATCCACAAGATGATAACTAGAATGTGATTATCAAGATCATCATTGCTGAACTATGAAGAAGATTGGATCATTTTAATACATGATGATGCATTATAGATGAGCCAAAGTTATGCCTAACTATGACAAGGTAGTAGCCATAAAAATTACCGCATTGAGAAGTTCAAAAATCCATCACTTATCACATAACCATCTACTCGTTGAATGACCATGAGAAAGAATCTAACAAGACATTCTTGTATATGGATTTTTTCACCACAATTTTTCCTTGAAAGTCCCAGGCACATTTGGTAAAATGAGACGTACAGCTGTTCTTTGAAGTGACGTCAACATAATGTGACATGTTTAATGGTTAGATCATAGCCTGGGTTCGACTGAAAGCGGATCTCCTTTCCTTGTCCACTATAAAATGAAATAAGTGAACATAATCATAAGCAAAATACCATAGAATTCACTATTTGATTTTGGATTATCAAAATCATAGAATTCACCCCATAGATTCTCAAAATATAATCTCTCGTGCCTCAAATCCATCAACTGTGCCCCGGAGACTTCAACTCCTTTTCAACCAAATTCAAGTGATTATCAGTCCACTGAATATCTCTTTCAATCACATTTGGAGGCCAACGAGAATGGGGACAGACTGGCAAAACTGGGTGCTATGGGCTCTAAGTTCAAAGTCCAAAGGACTCTTTAGTGTGTCCCAAAGGTGAGCTACTATTGTTCATGGAATCTTGGCTAAATCACTGGATGCAGTGTGCCATCTGGGTGTCTCTCCATTTATACCATCTAAATGCCTCTCTCAAACACGTTTAGAGAGAGGACCATGTGAATGGGGACAGACTGGCAAAACTAGGACCTGTGGGCTCTAAGTTCGAACTCCAAAGGCCTCATTAGTGTGGCCCAGAGCCGATGTACTATTTTGATCAGGGAACCTTGGCTAAATCACTGACTGAACATCCCATCGGGGTGCCTCTCTCTTTTTATACCCTTTCTCTTTCCCTCCTCCTCGCACATAAACTGCCCTCCCGAGTTTTCTAGGGTGGGGTGCTAAAAATGCTTTACAGGGATTGCAGATTAAAGACAGGTGAATCCATTCCCTCTCATTCTCTCCCTTTATGCCCCCCATGCCAAAGAAAAAACAGGCCACCCGGGGGGGGGGGGGGGTGGGGGAGTGGGGTCAGTTTAAACAGCAGGCAATGTTGCCATTTCTGTACACAAGGTGGCATTTTGTAAGCTATAACTTTATATATTAATACAATACAACCAACATTTCACAAAAAAAATTGAATTCACCTACTCCATCTGCAGCCAGCAAGTCAATGTATATTTGGATATGCCATTTTTTTATTTCAAACATTCTCATGATATTCTAAATTTCAATAAAACAGCTATCTACAAAACTATAAAAAAATTAAGTAAATCAGTTATATTTGGTCATCAATGGAAAAATCACTTTTGGAGGTCCTATACTTTATCTCCGGGTTTCACAAAACAAGAATGCTTTAGAAATATCTGTTGACTTCAATGTCAGGAGGAAGGAGAAAGTAGCATTGACCAAAACTCTAGGCCTTTGTTCATTCATTTGCATTCCAACTGCTTCTTAAGAGCTCACCTAAGAATTCATACTGCAAGGAGAAAATTCAATACCAAACACATTTCAATCCGATTAACCAAATAGCAATGACTCTTAAAAATATTCAGATATGGCCATGGTGACTTTTAAAGTTTCCTTCAAGATCATTTCGAACAAAATATGTATAGGTCTGACCACTGAAACAGGTTTCAATTGTTTTTTCTTTTTTTTTTTCAGATGTATGTGCAGAAATAATGCAATAGCACTCAAGAAGATTTCATGCACTCTCAGTCCTCTGCAAACAAGAATTTATAAGCCAAAGTCTCTATCATAAAGAACCTAATAATGCAAGTTTATTAGATTACCTGAAACTTGGCCATCTCATCCTGAACAAGGCCATTGGCTTGCATAACAGGCACGCTGCAATGCTCCACACAATCGTTGATATCTTCCTGCCTTCTCCTTCGGTCAAAACATTCGTGCGCACACTTGAAATAAGCTTGCTGATTCCACCATTACAGTAGAAGTTCATCAGAAGAAACCCCAACTAAAAGGATGAGTATATAAAGGGATGAAATATGAAAATAAGATATTAACACATGAAAACTAGCTGTGCAATGGACTGTAAGAAGCACCTCATTGACTTGAGACGGTAAAAGGGTGGTTGATTCTTGGGTAAGTTTTATCTTTTTATAATTTACTACATTTTTCTTTGGATGTACAGGTAGGTAGATAGATTGAGAGAGAGAGAGAGAGAGAGAGAGAGAGAGAGAGAGAGATTTTCTTAAGAGATTGCATAGAAAGGGTTACTTTCTACAGAACCTAGTCCATAAATAATTAATGCAAAACCAACGAAAATGAAAAATGACCTATAATTTAATGGGTGCTTTCAAATAATACATACCACAAAGGCCCGCCCCCCAAAAAAAAAAAGATGAAATACTCAAACAGAAATATGCATGGTTCTACAAAGGAAATCAGAAAGCAAAACAGAGGATTTTATCCCCAAAAAAAAAGAACACATACATTTCAAAAGCTCCAAAAAAATGAGGTCTTTCTTATTCCTCAAAACAAATAAATGAGAGCTTTCTTAAAGCTAAAACTTAAGACCGGATGTTATTTAAGGAAACAAAACAATAAAATGATGAAAGGAACCAAAAATACTAATAATGCAAAAAATCAATAATGCATGTGTCTTCAAGGAAAATAAGAACAAATTTACCCCAAAAAATCCAATTTTTTTTAATAAAATAAAGATGGGTAAAAGCGTAAAACTAATTTTTCTCATAGACAGTCCAATATTTTATATAAAAGCTAAGAAACAGAAGAATGGGGTCAAAGAAAAAAAAAATCAGTGAAACCCATTTGTCAGGATTCAAGATTCATGAATCAACGAATTCATAAGAACCAGAGAACAATAAAAATCAAATAAATATTAAAGAACAATAAAAATCATTTTTTTTCCAGACAAAATAAATTGTGCATGAAGAAGAGTAAATGGAGAAGAAAACCCAAAACCTGAAGAGTGAAATTGACATGGTCTTGAACTCCTGAGAGCTGCTTCTGAACTTCAAGGTTAACATCGTTCAATTTCCTCTGCAATCTATCTGAGACAATACGCTCTTCCCCCGGAAAACTCATCGTAAAATTGGCTCTTTCTCTCGCTAGGGTGAACCTCTTTCTCTCTCTAAATGGGCTACTCTCTCTCAGGAAATGGGCCTCTCCCTCGCAATAAATGGCGCTACGCTCTCTACAGATGGACGTCTCTCTCTCTAGAATGAAGCTTCCTTCTCTCTCTACAGTTAAGCATGTCTCTCTCTCTAGAACCACGCCTGCAAGGTTGCTTCTCTCCCTAAAGGGAAAAGTTTATATATATAGAGCCGAGGCTCTAAACAATCAAACTTGAGCCTACATCAAAATGCTCATTAAAAGAGGTCGTTTTGGTGCTCAAATATCTTTAAATTAATCATCTTTATTTGAAGATGCATAATCATGAGAAAAATATAGATTTCAAATTTTAAAAATAATATATTTTGGAACTCATTTTTTGACCGTCAATTTTCAAAATTTTTAAATTTTTATAAATATATCGATCTACACTATTTTTTAAATTTTAAACTTTATAAGTAAAAATAAAAATATATTTAAAAACTATCATAAAGATTTTCAATATTAAAACCATATTTTTAGATACCATTTGAACAGGCTCTAATTTGATTGTTTAAAACTTAGGCTCTATACAAACACCACCCCCTCTCTAAAAACCCCGGATGTAACGATCAGAGCCCTTAAACCCTAAACTGTCAACACAGATGGAACAAACGCCTAAACCCATAAACAGCCCCGGATATTCATAAAATGACCGAGATAGCCTCGTAGTTATAGACTTTCGATTTTTAGAACGTTGAAAACACCAAAACAGATAAAATTCTTATGGGATGGTATATTATGAGACAATTTATTTTTAGTAATTATTTATTGAATATAAAATTTAAAAAATGAAAATGTTATAATATTAAAAAAATTTTATTTTAGATTTTGTGTCTAAATAATGACGCATTCTCGCTTATCAAATTTCAAATTTAATAATCAATGATTCTGACTTTTTTATATTAAAAATAAATAATTTTATTATATAAATTTTCAATTATCACATATATTTTATAAAGCTCTCCATATTTGAATGGGTGCAGTTGGCATATAGATGCATGGGTAGGTATAGAGGCAAGGTGCACCTTCAAATTTTATCATGGTATATAATTTTGATGTAAAATGTTTTGAGGATTATCTCAAAATATAATTTTATATTTAATTATAAAATTTTAAATTTAAAAAATGGTTAAAATGAAGTCGATCTATAAACATATGAAAATCTTGAAAATGAACATGCTAATGATATAAGAGCCTTTCCCTTTTGATGAATTGTTGCTTGGCTTACAATATTTTTCAACTTGAAAACAAGGGCAAAAGTGAAAGAAATTGCTGGAAAAATTTTTCCAAGGAACCCTTGACAGCTCTATCGGAGCTGTGACGGTGAGAATATGGATATAGGTGTATTAAACAGGAGATTTTGGTACTTCTAAAAATATAGAGAACTTGATGGGATAATTTCTCAAAAAACATAATGGAAATAGAATAGAAATTAGAAATAACAAAGTAAAATATCAAATAAAAAATATTAAAAATAAAATACATTTAAATATAAATAATAACAAAAAAAAATACACATAATTAATTACATTAAATAAATTTCATTTATACTAAATAAATAATAATTGATTCAATAATAATGATAATTATTTATATTAAGTCCGGTTTTTCGAAACACCATGGAGCGACTTGTTCGATGTTTGTATTACTGGACCTGCCCTTTCTATTAGATATGGCTGAACACTTACAAGATTTCTCACTTGTTTGGTGTCTAAAATGTTGGACGGGTGATAATTTTAGAGAGAAAAAAAAAGGGTCGTCGGTTAGAGGTGGTCTCATCGTAATTTATGCAAAAATAATTAAGAAATTGACCTATTACATAATAAAAACATTGAAACTATATCCATACATAAATTTTCTAAATTTATATGATTTGAGAAAGAACTTTCTCATACAAGTGGACAAAGGGACTATTTGTTCGTATTAGTCATAAAAGTGAATGCTCTTAAGTATTCCAATAAAAAAGAGGAAAAAACATAATAACCTCGTCCATGACAAGATTTGGTATATTGCTTATTGCTAGATTTATGCAAGAGAGGTATAAAAAACTAGATTTTGGTACCAAATCTAGATTTTGCTAGATTTGGTATACCAAAAAAACTGACGACGGCTTCTATACTGCTCTTATTACATGGAAGATATATGTTTTTCTTCTCCGCCATTTAATTCAGAACAAGTAAGCCATTGATCATGTGATCTAGATCATGTTCCATAGTATTTTTTTTATAGTTTTTCTTAAAAAATTATTTGAATATGAAATTTGGTACTGCTGTCATTCCAATGGGGCACCTTAAAACAAATATTAAAAGTAAATTTTCAATAAAATGTAATAACCAAATACCTCTTGAATCTTTCAAAAGCATTTTAATCATTTTATTTTTATTAAGAATATTATTTTTATATTTTTACGGGTATGCTTTAAAAGAGGAGTGGACACCCAAAATTTGATGTTTCTTAAAAAAAAGATAGTGCAGAGGTATGACATTATGATTGAAACCATCTCAACCGTCAAATAAAAATGGAACGGCTAGATAGAAGGAGCATATAAGTTTTATGCTATAGAAGACGCATAGAAAACTTGTCGGTGAGAAAAACGCCACATTGGTCACCCACCAAATCGATCTGAATAGCTGATTCAAGCTGGATCGAAGTAGTTATCCAAATCTGAAAACGGATTAAAATAGTGGGAATCGGCCCAACTAGTTGGAAAAAAAATCATGATTTTTAAACCCGATTTGATAGGGCGGATCTCCCTTGTAACCAAAATTGACATTTTCAAGGCAGATGCAGAGAATGGGAGAGTTTCATCTGGCTAGTTTTAGAGAATGGTAGAGTATCACTTACCAAGTTTTAAAGAGAGAGGGAAGATTTCAATCAGAAAGTAGAGAGAGAAAAGTACAAAGTATCTCCTTTCCTTTCTATTTCAAACTCGGTGTGCCATGCTTTTCCTTTGCAGATGAGAGAGAAACGACTTCTTCGTAGACTTAAGAGAGAGACAGAGGAGCCACTTTATTTGAGAATCAAGAGAGAGAAAGAGAGGTGACAAGCACTCTTCTCGTGGAATGGAGGGTACAACAATCCTAATGGCTGATTCTTGAGAGAGATTAATCCATTGTCTTACATACCAATTTATTATTAGAATAAAGGGTGAGAAACGGATTCAAATTCTCTCTCTAGACCTATCACGTACCTCTCGCTCTCCCTCTCTCTCTCTCCCTCACCCACACACGCAGAGGTACACACACCAGACCCATCTTCCATCTCTCTCCCTCTCTCTCTCTTCTCTCTCTCCT